TACAATGTTCTGAATGGAGTATAAATATCTAAGGATCCTGTTAAATACAACAATAGGGAGCTCTGTTTTTTTTTTTTTTTGACTTAGTAGCGCGTCAAATGAATACTGCAACTGTTGCCACTGTTGTTTGTAAATCTTGATTTATAAATCTGTAGAAAAATGTTCAAGTTTTTCTAGCTGGACTATAGATATCCTCTCCCTTTAAAAAAATGTCCTTCAAAGATTGCAAGAGATACATTGATCAAAGGGTATGATACAGTGGTAGGATTCAAATATTGTTGCCACCGGTTCGGTGGGCATGGCTTGATGGGCGTGCTTTGTGTGCATTCACATACTTTGTGTGCACACGCGCGCCAAATGTACACTTTGCGCAGGTACAGAGGCGTTTGCACAAGTGCAGAGGCGTTCTAACGTGCCTCCTGCAAGCCTGCACGATCCCAGTCATTTCAGCAGCTGCCACGCAGCACTCTTCTGTGCCGCGCAAAGCAGCTGCACTTCAAATTCAGCAGATAAAAGCAGGGGTGGGATTCTACCAGTTTGCACCTATTTGCTAGAACCGGTTGTTAACATTCTAAGCAGTTTGGAGAACTGGTTGTTAGAAGAAATTACTGGCCTAATCCTGTAAGGAAGGTAGGAAGGAAACATTCTGGTGTTGCTTACAGAAACTGCCTCTCCGTTAACCCTTATTACATTCTTGGCAGGACTAGACTTCCTGTCTCAGGAACTTCTCTGGAGTTTTTTCCCCCTCTGCTGGTACTTTGCTTGGGTGGAGTGACCATTCAAAATTACAATGGCACTGAAAAAAATGACTGATGACCATTTTTCACATTTACGACTGTTGCAGCATCCCCACAGTCATGAGAGGCCAGGCGAGGAGATGCATGCCTCGATGTGAGTAATGTTGAGTTGACCACGCCCAGCCAGTCACAGGACCACCAAGCCATGCCCACCAACTAAGCCACACCCACCACCTTTGCCATCCCCACAGAACCAGTTGCTAAAAAATTTGAATCCCACCTTTGGATAAAAGTGAGTATTGGGAGCCTAGGCGGGCGGGCGGGCCCAACAGCAGAGCGGTAGAGCGAACTGGTTCGTTCTCTGCTGCTCATTGCTCCTACTGGCTCGCCAGAACTAGGCCGAACCGGTCAAATATCACCACTGGTATGATACTTGGAATTTCCAGACCTTTTTAAAACACACGGAGAGTCTTAAAAATCTTAAAATAGATGTACTAAGTCTGCTGGAGTTCAACACCACTATTATTAAAGTTTAAAGTTAAACTTTTGCCTTTAACACTAATTCTGAGAGTATTGCGCTAGCAGGCTCATTCTAGATGTCATTATTACTCTGTAAAGCCTAAACTAAAGGATCTAGACCACAGTGTCAATCTTGATCATATCACATGATGTCATGTGACATAAATATTGCTACATTTTTTGCATTTGTGGAGCCAGAGTGGGCATGGCTGGAGCATGATGCATCTGGCCTGCGGGCCACCAGTCTGACACCCCTGATCTAGACCAACTACAGAGAGTCCTCAACTTACAACTATTTGTTTAAGGACTGACATTACAACGGCACTGAAAACGTGACTTATGACTGGTTTTCACATGACCGTTGCAGCATCCCCATGGCCATGTGATCAAAATTTGGATGCCTGGCAACTGACATGTATTTATGACAGCTGCACTGACTCTGGGTTATGTGATCACCATTTGCAACCTTCCCAGCCAGCTTCCGACAAGCAAAGTCAATGAAGGAAGCCAGATTAACCTAACAACTTCACAAATCACTTAACAACTGCTGTGAACAACTTAGCAACTGTAGCAAAAAATAAATAAATCATAAGATGGGGCATAACTCACTTAACAATAGCCTTGCTTAAGATTGGAAATTTGGGGCTCAGTTGTCCACCATGACAACTTAATTATGCAGGTCTCTGCGAAGAGAAGTTCAGCTGTCCACTTTTGGAAAACAAACGAGAACGTTCTTGTCACCAGGTTCTGTAAGTGGACAACAAATACAGGGACTTATGACAGTTCATTTAGTGACTGTTCAAAGTTACAATGACACTGAAAAAGTGACTTTTGACAATTTTTCAGTTACAACCATTGTAGCATCCCTGTGATCACGTGATCAAAATTCAGATGCTTGGCAACTGATTCATACTTATGACTATTACTCTCTCAAGGTCATGTGATCATCTTTTGAAACATTTTGACAAGCAATGGGAAAGCTAGATTCACTTAACAACCAAGTTACTAACTTATCAACTGCAGTGATTCATTTAACAACTATTGCAAGAAAGGGCATAAAATGGGACAAAGCTCACTTAACAAATATCTCACTTAAAAAGAAATTTTGGGCTCAATTGTGGTCGTAAGTCGAGGACTACCTGTATTCCAGGATCAGACTACTTACAAGTCTGTCTTTTCTCCCCCCCCGTAATTAAAAAAATAAACTTTGCTTTTACTTTTTTCATTTTATGTTAAGCTATTACTATTGTTTTTATAGTCATCACTAATCACTTGACAGCTCAAACCAGTGCTGACTCAGTAGTATTAATTGCACAAAATTCTGCTTGAAATGGACCAGTGAGATTCTTTGCTGAGAGGTAAATAAGAACTGAGAAAGGACAACTCACCTAATAATGTAGGACAAAATAAAACAGAAGATATTAGATAAGAACTAGAACAAATCAAAGCATCACATGAAAGAATTTTAAAAGAGGGTGAAGATTTAGGTATGTTTCAGAGGTATATTTCAGAGAATTTAGAAAAATGTCCGTCGTAAGAGAACAAGTAGTTAAGAATTGCTGAAAAAGAAGAAGAGTTATTAAAGGGAAAGAAGGAAAACGATTCAAATAACTTCTGAAACTGAAGAAAAAAAACTAGAAAAATCTGGGCTAACAGAAACAGCAAGTAAGTTTTGCAAAAGAACAGAAGCCTAGAGTGCATTATTTCTTTTGAAATCATTGCATTAAACATAGAGGAACTTTAAATAGCAGTATGTAGTAAAAACAAGAAGCCAAGACATCGCAAAAATGTCCAGGGGACTTGGCTTGAACACATGAAATTTTCGCTTATTCCCATATGGCAAAAAATGAGTAGCAGTTTTATTAAAGAAATCACTTGTCAGCAGATAACTACTTTCTATTTTTCTGCTCTATTTTTATCAAGATATATTTGAAAATTAGAAAATTAGTGTCAGCCATGGATGAGAATTATTTTTTCAGATTGATTTTTCAAAGGGTGGAATCAAAAGATCAAACATGGCTCAAATGGCAAAATTAAAAGCCATTGTCAGCCCCTCAGGAGATTCAACTTCAGATGAAGTCAATTGAGAGGAAAGAAGAGCCAATAGTCTGTCATAAAATGAACATAGAGAGAAGTTAATCGATATTGTCAAAACGGCTGATGAGTTGGAAAGGCATGTTACAGCACAAAAGTTTACAATAAAATGATCAGATTGGGTTTCCTTGAATACAGAAATCATGAAATTTCAGCAGTAAATCCTTAGTCAAGTTCAAATGTTATCCTGGAAACATGTGTGATCAAAGTTTAGTGAATATCCTTACTAAAATTAGATGAAATATTGGGGTACTAACCTCCCCAAACATCACTACCTGGGCATCTAGCCTGAACACTCAAGAATCATGAGGACAGTGGCTCAACAAACTATTAGGCTAAAGGGTATGAAATATAATAGTACTTCAGCAATGGGAATAATTTCATTTATTAATCTCAGTTAATGTGAATTTAATGTTGACGACTACGGTAGGAATGAGAAAGGTAAGTGTCAAGAAAATTTTTAAAGAGATAAGTTGGCAACATTTTTAGGGGGGAACTTCCTATTATTTCGATTCCATTTGAGTTTATAAAATGTAGCATTAAATCAAGAGATTGGAGGGTAGTGACAAATACGTAAAAAAGATAAAACTAAACAAACAAAACTCCCTATTCTATTGCTTTTATTTCTAAGGGGAAGTACAGTTAGCATCGTGAACATTCCTAAAGAAACTGATAGCATCTTTCATTATATTCTGTGGATTCAGAAATGTAACTTTTCCATACGAATTATTTATGCTATTCTTATTAAAACTAATGTTTCCCTTCCCTTTTTAATTAATAATCTCTTAGACTTGTTTTAATTTGTTCTGGTTTAACCACCCTTTTTGCCACCCTCTCAATCCCATTTAATATATGTTTTCATGCCCTTTGCTATTCCCCCTCTGTAATTACCAATTTAACCCCTGCTCATTAATTACTGCCCTATCAATGCGTTGGTTGGTCTCTAAATACATCTCTAATTAACCTGTCTCTCTACGATTAAATGCGTTATTCTCCTTACGCTGGCAACGCATTACTTATTCAACCTTAGCCCCTGCTATTTATCAGGGTAGCAATTCCTAGGAATACCTATTTAATTAGTCCTTCGTTTCCCATCAGCAACAAGGTACGTATTAACCGCTCCACTCCGGAGGGGAGAGAGTGCTGCCCCCTCTCGCCTCAGCAATCAATGGCTCGCCTCACAACGAAAGAGCCCGGCATTTATTCATCGATGAGGCGATCAACCGGTTAATAAACAACCCCTCGAGTGCCTCTAAAGCACCCGCTCCTCATCTTAAAACCTAGAGGCGACGCAGCGCTGCTTGTATCAAGCAGCCCTTACGTCAATTAATGTTCCCTCACTGCCCCCCCCCCGCCCCCGTCCCCCCAAAAGACACCATACATACATACATACATACATATACACATACATACATACATCCTCAGGGCCAGTCAGAGGCTGAAGCCCTTAAAAGAGCGCGCGGATGTTTTCCCTGCCCGCGGCTGTCACCGTGGGCTGCCTTCCCGTCCGGGCTCCAGGAGCCACTTTTTCCTTCCCGTCTTGGGGGTTGCCCGGCTCATAGTTGAGAAAGGGGAGGAGGAGAGGAGGAGGACCAAGACCCATCAGGCCCGGCCCTTCGCCGCGCCTCGTTGCTCTTCACTTCTCCGCCCTACGCTCCGCCGTGGCTGCTGCTTGTTTAGCGGGGGTCGCCTTGACTCCAGTGGGCGGCTTCATTGTTTTTTTGTTTTGCCCACCGCGATCCGTAAGGGAAAGAAAGGCGGAGGAAAGGCCACGCACGGCTGGGCGCGCTTGGCGGCAGGAGGAGGCGCGACGGGGCTGTTTTGTTCACCACCGACGGACTCTCCGACCGACTGACCGACCCAACCAACGCCGTTCGGCGCTCCTGTCAGTCGGTGAGGGGCGCGGGTAGGAGGCGGGTTCCTTCTTCTTGCCCTCGTTGGCGGGTATGAGAAGGCCCTGCCGAACGGCAGCAGCACAAACTGCGGTCCTGCAGAGCCTGACGCAGAACCGGGCCCGGAGCCTCGACTGCTCCTGACAACGCAACCCACAGCCTCCGCCGCCGCCGTCTCGCCATGCGTCCCGCGCGGTGGTGGTCGGGGCCGGCCCTGGCTTTGGCCTTGGCCGTGGCTCTGGCTGGGATGGGCACCTGGAGCCTGGCCAAGGGTGAGTATCGAGGAAAGGGGCTCGTGGTGGTTCGGGGTGACGGGTTTCCCTCCTCCCCCCAAAGCCCTAGTTTGAATAGTAACAGCGGCAGAAACAGCGCTAGCGAGAAGACAGTAATATGCATGCATGTCTTGGTTGCGTTGCTGCGGTGCAGCCTTCATATCACTTACTTGGGGTGAGGTTATTTGGAAGCGCTTACCTAGGGCTGCCAAAGGTATGTCTCTTGATAAATAACTTGTTCGTGCAAGGACAAGTGATCTCAGCGGTGTCTGAGGATCTATCTATCTATCTAATCTAATCTAATCTAATCTACCTTGTCTGCCTGTCTGTCTATATATCTACACCTGTATTTATCTAATCTTCATTTAGCCCATCCTATCACATTTTTACATCTCCCATCTTACCCAAGTGACTTTGGGAGGTATAGAAGGATGCTTTAGAGTTTTTCTTTACAGTCAGATTTAAGTTAAAAACTAGGCATGTGTGTGCATATAGTAGACAATTCCCTTCATGGGAATGTGGTTCGAAGTTTTCCAGTGAAACGTTTTGTCAGTGCAATGCCACAAATAGTTACAAAAGTGGGAGCACCTATTGAATGAGGCTAAGGCTGGGTTTTCTAGTCCATTTTTTTCTCCAGGACTATTTGCTCTGAGGCTTCTTTTATATTGTTATTATTTGATCATTATTACTGTAATAATTGTATTGGCAATTTAATATTACTTGCCAAAGTGACTGGATAAGTCTTATGTGTGCCTCTTTTTGCTTCCTAAGTAGAACGTGATAGTAATATGGATATCATATCCTCAGTTTGTGAATTTTATGGTGGTAAAAAAATCTTATGACAGTTTGACAACTAATTTATTGTATTTGATAGTACTTCTACCCCAGGGGTGTCAAATTAAATTTCATTGAGGGCCACATCAGGATTGGTTTTGACCTTGGAGGGCCAGGTGGGGGCGTGGCCATGGTGGGTGTGACATGGGACCGCACCTCCACAGACATGGTTTTATAAACTTCTAAAAAAAGAGAGGTGTACACTATTGTGATTTTGTTTTTTTAATACTTACTTGATCTACTTGATCACCTTATGAGAGAGAGAGAGAGAGAGAGAGAGACCAGACTCCATAGGAAGACTAGAACTCCATAGGAAGACTAGACATAAAATTATTGACAGGCTACAGTAGCAGAATCCTGCAAGCCTGAAAGATAAAATATTTTACTTTTCCTCCCTTTTATAACCTGAGTCAAGGACAGCCTCCTGCAGCGCCCTGGGTTTGGGCCTGGAAGACCACCTGGGCAACTCCAGAGGCCCCATTTTGGGCCTGGATAACTCCAGAGACCTGTTTTAGACCTGGAAGGCTTCCTGGGCGGCTCCGGAGGCCAAAAGCAAGGACAGGGGGGTGCGTGCCCCACCCACGCCCCATTTTTGCTAGCAGAGGCACTGCGGGCCAGTTCTTTGTTATTTCTAGACTGGCCCTGTGGACCATCCCATGGGCTGGATCCAGCCTGCAGGTCTTGAGTTTGACACTCCTACTCTTTCCTATGCAGTTTGTAAAAAAATTAAAACAACTCAAGAAGTATCTTAACCTGACACTGGCTTAAAAATAATATTTAATATTTATTTACCCTAACATTTTACATTTTAGTAACCTTTACTAAGAATTATTTAGTGTGAATCCCCTTCAAACTTTTTCAAGATAGGGTATATTGTCACTATCAAAGAAAAACTTTACTGTGTAAATTGTGATTGAATTCTGTAGAAGAATTACTTTTGCATTTTTGCTACTCTAAAATAAGCAGAGCTCTTAAAAGTGTTTATTGGATAACATCCTGGATGTGTAAGTATACTTATTTATTTTAATATGTTTGTATTCTACTTACCCTCCATATACGCTAGCTGCAAATTATTGAGTGTTAACTATTGTAAACATTGGTCTTAAACACATAAAGGATCATTAAAACCAGACTAAATCCCGTGTTGGACAAAATAAATAAAATTGCATGTACCATTTTATTCTGAATATTTTTGCTAGTTGATATGCTGTATGATATATACTATTGTATATTTGATGTAACATTATTAATATTACTTATTTAATCACATTCGTACTCTTAGGTGTTTTCTTAGAATTCATATTTGGATCTCTCAGTGGTATCTAGTTCAAGCATCCACTTTTTTTTCAAGTTATATCCTGGGTTACTTGGAATAATAATTTTAAGAATGTTACGTTATAGTCCAGAGTAGCTCATTTGGGATAGGCAATAGGTTTCTCATTCAAGGAAGTTAACAACTGTACTGTTTATACTATTGTTGATAGTGACTTGGTGACATTAATATTTATGACATTTTATGGTAAAGGAGCATTTTATTTTAAATTGTACGAATGCACAGATATATATTAAAGAAAAGCTCAGGTCCCCATTTTTCAGATTGAACATAAAGGTGGCTCAAAAATAGAAAATTACATTTGTATGAAGTTGCAGTACTGGTTAGGACTTCAGTAGGGTTTTTTGTAAAGTATTGAAATTATTAAATTTAATAGCTGTGTTTATTATGATGTGTGTACATGTACTATGCTTGTGAACAGCATTAAAGTCTTTTGCAGTTTTATTGACTCTTCATTTTCCAGCCATTTTTCCAATAAATATTTCAAGGATTAGTAAAAGTAAATAATATTGAACTGAATTACTTCCATAAAGCCAATGGAATGATTCCATTGAAAACTTGTTCTTTTATGGGTCTGCATCCCTCTTCCTGTCTCAATTAGCTTCCTTGTCTGTTATAATGATTATAAATGTTCTATTGTGAGGAACAAAAGGCAGATTTGTTTGTCACAGTGTAGCAGCAAATTGTGTCCTCCAAATAAAGTAAGGGGGTGCAGTGACTCAGAGGTTAAAGACACTGAGCTTGTCAGTTGGAAACCTAACAGCCCAGGTTAGAGACCTAAGCGCTGCTTGATAGGGTGAGCTCCCATTACATGCTCCACCTCCTGCCCTCCTAGCAGTTCAAAAGCATATAAATGTGAGTAGATAAATAGGTACCACTTCAGTGGGAAGGTAGCAGCATTCCATGCACCTCAATGTATTATTATGCTCACTGAAGTGTCTTTGGACAATGCTGGCTCCCTCAGCTAAGAAACAGATGAGCATTGCACCCTCAGTCCAACATGTCTGGACAGAAGAAACCTTTACCTTTATAATATCAACCTCTGTAAGCCTAAACCACTGATGTAAGAAATACATGTTATGATACTTTTATTTTTCTATGGGTGAAAATTGTGTCCTTTTTCTAGTTTCCTTGGTTTGTATTATTTTTAGAAAAGTGAGCCAATTAATACGAGAAATACATTTGGCAATGATAGATGGGACTAAAGCTATTTCTTCTATGAATTTAACTTAGAGAATTTTTGCATGCTATGAATTGCATTGAGTAAAAAATAAATCATGGCCTTTTGTATGGAGAGGCCTATTTCAAGATGAAAAGGTTTTTTTTTCCTACAGAAAAAAACTTTGAGAGTTATGAAGGGAAAGTTCAAGGTGTAACAGGATACTACATGGCTGTAATTCTTTTGACACTTTGGAGTATTTCAGTAAGGGAACCACTTTGTCCCCAATGTAAGGAAAATATTAAATCCAAATTTGGGTGGGTATGTATGCACGCACGCACACACACACACACACACACACATTAAATTTTATGTTGGTTGTTGAAACATTTCACTTAAGGTTAACTACAATAATTCCCGTGCTTAACCAAGCCTTTTGGATCTACCACTTTTAATGTTTTGCCACAAATATTTTGAAATGGGTCCTAGTTTCTCCTTCCCAGTGTTTTGTGTTTTTAATTTGCCTTCTGCATCAGGTTCTAAAATGGTTTCTCTCAAATGTGGCATTGGGAACATGCAGAGGTATAATTGTACAATCACTGTCTATATATTCAGAACTGGCTATATATAAAATAGGGAGTCAAAATGACACTTTGCCAGAGAGGTTATGTTAGCATTCTTTTATGCAAAGTGCTGGTTGGCATTCTGGGTTTTTGAGTTGTGCCAAGAAAACACACAGTTCCATCTTGAGGGTTGTCTATCTCTCTGTGAACACATATACAAAAACAAATATTTTACAGCATTTGCTAACTGGTACAAAGTAACTTCTTTTTAATGTAGTAAGTATTACCTTTAAATAAACAAAATATGTTTGTGAGTTGGTATTGGCATTTAAGCAAAATGAGGTAAATGAAGGAAACCTAAACAAGTTCCTGCAGAAAATAATAGTAGTACTACTGTAGCATGTGATGGCAGTTTATTAACTGAATTAGATTTATCTGTTCTATGTTGGTGTTTGGTGTTTTTCCCCAACCAAATATTAATTTTCTTTCTAGAACTCAAAGCCTAGACTAGTCAACAGGCGTGCATTTCTACAGTAATATCATAAATGTGATTCTTTAAATAGAAATTTAGATAATAAGGTATTTTCCAACTTCAAAAAAAGATCTTTGAAACCTTGTGAATGGAGAAATGTCTTGATAGATCTATGTTTAAATTTGAATTTAGCTGATTCACACTTCTTTCAATATTAGGGTTTTAATTATTATGAGTTTGAAACATGTTAATGGAAAAAAATGAAAACAGTCAGTAAGGCAATATGCTTCTCCAAAGGTTTAAATGGCTAGTGTATTTTTGTAGATTTAGTGGAATTTAGTAAGAAAATATTATTTTCATATTACAGAAAGAAAGTATAAATGATCAAACAGACAACTTACTTTCTTAAAATAATTCCTTATTGATTTGAGCATTTTGGATTGCCAGTGAACTTGCCCTGATTTTATTTGAATTAACTGAAGGATATGCAGCTTAACATGATGGTATTTGCTGGCAAGTGAAATTATAAATATCTTTCTCCCTGAATATTTTAAATATAAATAAAAAGTATGATTTGAGACGTACTTGATTGCAACTTTATGTTCTCCTTATTAGCGTCTTTCTTCTGTTCATGGCCTG